ATCCTCTCCACTTTTCACAGAAACCCATTCTTAACAACATGTATTCAATGAAGCCCCAGCATACCTTATCGTACGCCTTTTCAAAATCAACTTTAAAAATGAAGGATTTCTTCTTCTTTCTCTTTGCCTCATCAATCACCTCATTTGCAATCACAGCCCCTTCTGCTAGTTGTCTGCCCCTAAGGAAAGCCATTTGATGCTCCCCGATCACCTTATCAATCACCCTCCGCAGTCGGTTTGCAAGGAGCTTAGCTAAGATCTTGTACATGACACCAATGAGAGATATGGGTCTGTACTCTTTAATTTTTTGGGGGTTTTCCACTTTGGGGATCAAGACTATGAAAGAAGCGTTTGAACCTTTTGTTATCTTGCCGTGCTCATGAAACTCCTGCACAAACTCCACAACATCTGATTTAATGTCTTCCCACATGACTTTTACAAATTTGAAGTTAAAACCATCTGGGCCTGGGGACTTTGAAGATTCACATTCCCACACTGCTTCCTTAACTTCTTTTTCAGAAAAAGCTGCAGTGAGTATGTCATTATCTGCTTCAGAAATCCTGTTGAATTCAATGCCATCTAGCTTTGGTCTCTCCCATTTCTCTTCCGTAAATGACTCCTCAAAGTATTTTGCCACCTCATTCTTTACTTCTGCCACCCCTGTATGCTGGACACCATTGATATGAATACAAAGTATTTCATTTCTTCTCCATCTTCCTTTCGCACATCTATGAAAGTACTTTGTGTTCGCATCCCCTTCTTTTAACCACATTTTTCTGGATTTTTGTTGCCACATGCTTTCTTTGATTTTTAAGTTCTTCCACAACTCTATGAAGCAATTTCGCCTTTGCTCAATGTCCTGAGTTGAGAGTTGACAGTTCTCTCCTCTTTCATCTATTGTGGCAATCCCCTTTTCAGCTTCCATTATCTTACTATCCACTTCTGGTATGGAGTTCCTACTCCACTCCTTCAGCTCTTTCTTTGTTCTCTTCAGCTTCTCCTTCAGTTTGTACCCTTTCCATCCCCTAACTATGGTAGACTCCCACACTTCCCTGATAAACTCTTTGCACCCTGGTTGATCAAGCCAAGCATCAAAAAATTTGAATGGCTTTGGTCCCCAATCTATCTTCTCATTTTTCAGTAAAATGGGACAATGATCCGAAACGGTTCTATTAAGGCCCCATTGTTTCATATCACCCCACTTCAAAATCCACTCCTCTGTCAACAAAAATCTATCAATTCTGCTCATGTATTTCCCATTGGAATTATACCATGTATACCTCCTCCCCACCAAAGGTAAATCAATAAGCCCAGTATTCTGGATAAACTCTTCAAATTCCTTCATTTCTCTGGTAATTTCCCTGCTTCCTGCTTTTTCTTCTATTTTTCTCACTGCATTAAAGTCTCCTGCCAAGCACCACTTACCCCCCCTGTTGGTGATTAGTTTCTGTATGTCCTCCCATAATGCCCTTTTGCCTGCCAACTGACATGGAGAATATATATTTATTATGTACACCTCAGTGTTTTCCTCTCCCCATAACCCGCATACCCCCAAATAATTATCTCCCTCTATCACTTCATTTTTCCTAAACACTTTTGAGTTCCAAATACAGAGCAAACCTCCTGCCAATCCATTAGCTGCCTTTGCTACCCAGTCACAATCATCCGTCCCCCATAACCTTCTACAGAAACTCATATCTACATTCCCCATTTTAGTCTCCTGAATTGCCTAAAATTCTAATTTTTCTTTCATAATTAATTCTCTAATATGTCTTTTCTTCCCAACCCCTCCAAGCCCTCTACAGTTAAAGGACAACAGATTCATTGAAATTCTTTTTTACCTTCTTCTTGCTAGCTTCCTCCGGCTGCATCATGCTTGCTTTCTCCTCTTTATCTCTTTTCTCCATTTCATCAATTCTCTTGATAATTTGCTGTTCGTCCACAGCCACTACCCCTAGCTTCTTCGCAAGTTCCCATAGATCTGCCGGTTGCTGTTCTTGTCTTTGTCTCTCCACTAACTTGTTGCAATTTCTGATCTCTATGTCTCCAATTGAAACCCCAGCAGATGTACTACCGGAAGTTGTATTGACCGCCGGCTTCACCTTCTTCCCCTTCTCAGATGTCCGCTTCCCTCCTCGTTTCTTCCCTCTTTGATCTTCCACACCAGCAGGTGGATCTACCTGCTCTATGGAATAAATTGATCTATATGGGCGAGACTTCTTTTTTTTCTTCTTCCCCGTCCGGTTCAGCTCTGTCCTTCGACCCATCCACTGCTTCAGCCGACCCTCCTCACTTTCAAAACCTTTCCAGAACGGGTCAATCTCTTCCTCCTCTGTAATTTCATGCTCTGTTTCTTCAATTCTAGAATATTCATTACTATTGGGTCCTAATGGGCTTGTCACCGACTGGGCCGAGCTCAAGGCAGCTGTTTCCTCATCCACACTCCTTGTATGTGACGGTCTGGGCCCTTTTTTTGTCCTCTCTACATCCTGCTTTTCCAAGCCCGTTTCTACCCCTTCTTTTTCCCAATTTTCAGCTGAATTTGCCCGTTCCCTATGCACTGTCGTTGCTGTCCGCTCCCCCTGCCCCTGCAACTCTTTCAGCCGGCCTACTCTACCTGCTCCTGAGTTTGAATTTTGAATTTTCTCCGAGCTGTCTACAGCCACTCCCTCTTCTTGTGATTGATGGTTTTTTCCTTTTATACCCCTTTCACCCGCCACCTCATCATCTTCCTCCTCTGCATCTGAAATGTGTTCTACAGCCGGCTCTATGATTTTTCTAAATCCATTTTCCATGCTGTCCATGTCTGTATCCCATGACCAGGATTCATTTTCCTCCGACCCACTGTGGAATGAAGGCAAGAAATCTTACTTTAAAGAGAAGAAATTGTTGGTAAATTCTTCCTCTTTAAATATAACATTGTAAAGGACGCCATTAATTTTAATTTGGCGTGTGACTGAGATTGAGTCCATAATATGAGTTGAGATCAAGAATCTGGCTACATCAAATCTTCTTTTGTTGCTTGTGTTGTCATCTAAGCATATAAATTTCCCCCAAGTGCTTCCCATTTTTTCAAAGAAATCACTCCTCCAAGCATTTAGGGGTGCCCCATGACACTTGATCCACACAAACCTTTCCTGAGCAACCAAATCTGGTGTCCACGGTTTGATTTCATTAAACCATTGTGCAAGCCATTCAGCAGCCATTTCTACCAGATCCTTTAGCTCTTCTTTTTCATCACAATCCAACAACACCATTTTGCCCCCCATTGCACGAACTCTACAATAGAAATACCCCTCCATGTAGAATTTCTCTTGCAAATTTCTGACCATTTCTACTGAGTGTACTGTCCCCACATAGCAACCCTCAAGCCATGCAAATTCTTCTTCTTTAATGTTGTATTCCATTCCAGTCCAGCTTGCTCCTTTTCCTTTCTCTTTCCATACTTTTCTGTTTTCTGCTGTTCCAAAACCTTCTCTTTTCCTGTTCTCACTTCTTTCCCACGGCTCTGTTCTGTACTGCCCCTTGCTCGCTCCTTCCACATTTCTAGCTCCTTTTCCTCTTAATACCTCTGCATAGCTCCTGCCTTGATACTTTGGAATTAATCCTTGCCCTCTTCCTTCCTTCTTTTCTTCCTTCTTCACATCATCGTATCTTGGAGAGTTGACCCGTAGTTTCCAGTCTCCAATCCATATCTGATCAAGCTGTCTCTCTAGTTCTCTTTGATCATGCACGTTGAGAAACCTGACAAACCCAAACCTTGCCCCGCTCCTGCTTTTCCTGTTTGGAATGTATATATCATATACCCGTCCAAATTTCAGAAATGTTCTCCACATATCTGCATAGCTCCACTCTTCAGGAAAATTTGTGAAGAAATAAGGGATGGCTTGTTTATACAGCCCTTTATCATAGAAACCCCACATTTGCGTCCTGCTGTTCTTTTGATGCCCTTTTTCCCCCTGTTTCTGCTTGATTGACTCCTTGCCTCTCCGTTGGCTTCCTCCTCTGCATGATGCATCCTTCCGATTCCATGTTGTCCGTGTTGCCCGAGTTCTCTGTCTTCCTCCTGATCCTCTCTCTCTCTCTCTACCTCTCTCTCTCATGATCTCTAATTTTGGCCCAATATGTTAACAAGCCTAATTCTAGGAATGTATCATTGAAATCATCACTGGAAAAATAGAGTGAAATTTCCTCAATTAGACAACTCTGTGTATCTAACTTATGTCTCTGGCATAA